TTTAACATTATTATAGTTTTAAGGGGACTCGGGCACTTCGGCTATGGCATTGATATTTGATTTAAGGGGAATTATTTAGGCAATTTCTAAACTCATCGTCGCCACCGGAGATGTGTTAGTCGGAAATTATTATTAGTGTGTGTGGTGTCTGAGCGGGTCAATTGTGGTGGTACGGAGAGCACTCGCTCTGTCGGACACTCATGTCCGGATGTAATGTAAAAGTGGGGTTAGTGTGGGTTTAGCCCTAGGAGGGTAAAAAATACTTTACAAACTATTCTCGTACCTATCAAATGTACAAAAAAAATTAATACTGTCCAGATTTTCATCGGTTTTTACGTGAACCAACTAAAGTTATAAACAAGTTAAAATAGTTTGTTTTGATACATACATTTTTCAAATAGAAGTGTCTCAAATTTAATAATTATAAAGGAAAGTCATACGCTCATGTTGTCTTTAAAACATACAATACTTATATCAAATTTAAAATTAAAATTATATAGTAAACTAACAACATAAAATTGGTAAAAATTGGAAAGAATCTAGGCATGTTATACTTTTTTAAGATTAAGAGATTTAGACAAAACATATGAGCATCCTTTTAAAGACGAATAATAGACAATTTTTTTTGAATACTACAAAAGATTAAAATAAGTTAATTTATATTGTCAGTTATAACCAAGTCAGGATCAATTTAAAAAAAGGTGGGTAAGTGGGTGTCGCTCTGCTATACAGTAGGTTACAAGTGGGTCACTGTAATGGATGGTGTTAAATTTGAATTCAATGATACATCATTATATAAGAAAAACGATTCTGAGTGAAGACCTATGATATTCATATTACTAAATATATTTGATGATATTATTGTGATTTGTGAACAAAGTAATTTATATATAACCTATTTACGTGAAACATTGTTTTACATTTTCAATCCTTAGCTATAAAAGCTGAACATTTTATACATTTTTAACTACAATATAATTATTAAATTTTGTGTCAAAATTCAAACTTTAAATGCTTATAAAAAAAAATTGTGCCTATGTATTTTTAATATTTTTCAACTGCTATTGTAACAATATAATGGGAACCTTGAATTAAATTTTCACGCTTTTTTACACAACAAATAACATTTTATTGCTATATTTTATACAAAAAAATCTTAAAAAAAATTTAAAACTGACAAAACAGCTCAAAAATAATCATATTTTCAAAATTTTATGGTATATAGAAAATACAAACATCAGTCAAATTTTCATACATATTTAGTAATTTGTTTTTGATTTACAACAAAATAAGAAAATTGCTACATGAGAAATCGGGTAAATATCCTATGTTGTAAAAATATGAACTTCAAACGCTCATAAAAATTTAATTTGACCTTCCTATGGACATTTTTTTTTTTTTTTGATGAAGGTAGACACACTTATGAAGATTCTTGTATTATATTTTCAAATCTTAGATTCAAAAAGAAATATTTTTATGAATTTTTATATCAAAATAAATTGTTAATTTTCGTGTTTTTTTTCATTATTTTGTCAAGATCAACTTGAAATGATTATAAAAAAAACTGTGACTAAGGATTTTTAATATTTTAAATGTCATTGCAACAAAATAGTTAGGAGTTTTGTATTAAATTTTCAAGCTTTTTTACAAAACAAATAAAGTTTTATTGACATTCAAAGGAAAAAACCTAAAAAAGTTGGAAACTGAGTATAACCCTAAAAAACTCAAAACAAGACAAATTTTTTTTATGTATAGAAAAGGCTAATATAAACATTCAGTGAAAATTTAATATATTTTCTATCATAAGTTTTAGAGTTACAACGAAAGCCAAAATCGATTTTGTCAAAAAATGTATACATTTATATTTTGTTTTTCTGGGTGCTTTTGAAAACTATTGGTAATTTTAAATTTTGATCTCCCAAGAATACAAACTAGATTAATTTTCCCATTGAACAAGATACTGAAGTTGAAAGTCAAAGCATTGTATCAACTACTAATCGTGTACACACGCAAATAAAAAAAAATGAAAAAAAAACACACATCATTGTAAAACCAATACATTCATCGCTCCGCTCAGAATATAAAATGACAGCACCATGATTCATTGGAAGATTCACAATTAAAGTATTAAGGAATGTAGCAGCCGTCGTCAAAACACTTCTATTACAACATAATATTTTAATAATATTTTAATAATATTATTTTTAAATAAAATGTTATACCTTTTGGGGATATTAACATCATCTTTCATTAAAATTTTCATTCTTAAGATACAGCTTTACTAGTGAATCCATAACTTGGGTTTTGGCTTTGACCTAAAAATTTTAAAAAAATGTCTATAATTATTATAAATAATTTGTATAGATAAAATTACCTTAACAATAGATTTTCTTATTGTTGTATAATCTTTGTGTAAATCTCTAAGATTTGCAGTAGTAGGCTGGGCTTTAAGATTTTTGAAATGCACGAGCGGCGTTATAACACTCCTATTACAACATAATATTTTAATAATATTTTAACTATATTACTTTTAAATAAAATGTTATACCTTTTGGGGATATTAATATCATCTTTTATTATATTATTCTTAAGATATAGTTTTATTAGTGAATCATATACTTGGGTTTTGGCTTTGACCTAAAAATTTTAAAAAAATGTCTATAATTATTGGAAAAATATGAATGTGTATAGATAAAAATTACTTTAATAATAGTATTTCTAGTTGTTGGGTTATCTTAAAGTTAATCCTCAAGATTCGCAGTAGTAGGCTGGATTTCGAGATTATGAAATGCATCAGTAGAGGCTTTTAAATATTCTAGTACAACATAATATTTTAATAATATTTTAAATATATTATTTTTAAATAAAATGTTATACCTTTTGGGGATATTCATTTCATCTTTTATTAAGTTATTATTCTTAAGATACGGCTTTCCTAGTGAATCCTATACCTGGGTTTTGGTTTTGACCTAAATATAAAAAAAAAAAAAAGTTCTATAAATATTGTAACATATTTATTTGTATTATATCTAATATGTAAATAATTTGTGTTGATAAAAATTACCTAAATAATATTTTCTTATTGTTGTATTATCTTAGTAAGTTCCTCAAGATTTTCAGTAGTAGGCTGGAGTGCTGGACTGATTTTGTCCCTTGACCCACCAAAGTTAATGACGTGGGTATAGTTTCTAATGATTCCAATTAATATTGATTGTGGTCTAACAGTAACTAAGTCTTCCTCAAATTTATAAGCCAAAGAATCATAATCCATTCAACGAATAAAATTGGAAGATAGTGAAATACAGCTTTGGCAGTAAAACACTCCTATTACAACATAATATTTTAATAATATTTTAATTATATTATTTTTAAATAAAATGTTATACCTTTTGGGGATATTCATATCATTTTATATTTTTAAGATACAGCTTTATTAGTAAATCCATCACCTGGGTTTCGACATTGACCTAAAAATTAAAAAAAAGGTCTATAATTATTATAAATAATTTGCGTAGATAAAATTACCTAAACAATAATTATTATTCTTGTCGTATTATCTTTATGATAATCTCTAAGATTTGCCGTCGTAGCCTGGACTTTAAGATTATGAAATGCACCAGCGGTGTTATAACACTCCTATTACAACATAATATTTTAATAATATTTTAGTTATATTATTTTTAAATAAAATGTTATACCTTTTGGGAATATAAATATTATCTTGTATTAAGATATTATTCTTAAGATACAGTTTTACTAGTGAATCCTATACTTCCCCTAGTAGCATTTTGTAATGATAATATTATAATCTCGAAAAATATTAGTATGTTATAATATTTTTGAACAAAAAATTGCTACCTGGGTGGATTTTGGCTTTGACCTAAAAATTTTAATAAAAGGTCTATAACAAATTATTATAAACAATGTGTGTAGATAAAAATTACCTTAATAACAGTTTTTCTAGTTGTTGTGTTATATTTGTATTAATCATTAAGATTTGCAGTAGTAGGCTGGACTTCAAGACTATGAAATTCAGCAGCTGAGGCTTTTAAACACTCCTAGTACAACATAATATTTTAATAATATTTTAATAATATTATTTTTAAATAAAATGTTATACCTTTTAGGGATATTCATATCATCTTTTATTTAAGTTTTAATTCTTAAAATACAGCTTTACTACTGAATCCATAATCAGGCTTTTTGCAATGATCTAAAATTAAAGTATGTCAGGAATTATGGTAAAACTTATTTATAAATTCTTTTAATGTGAAAATAAAAATTAATATGTTTAGTGAATAAAAATTACCTTAATATTCTTATGAGAATTGACTGATGTTGTTCTGCAATTGATGTTTACATGATGATATTCGTGAATTAACAATATCCCGGACTAGTCTTATCAGCAATACCAATTGAAAACAATTTTTGTATAAACTTAATTTTAATCTAAAAAAAATATATAGTAGATACCCACATTCAAGTATAAAAATGTAAAGTAAGCAGTAATAACCACTTGGGTAGTGCTTACTCCTTATAATTGAATAATCATATTTTTAACTGTGATGTAATATTTTTATTTTTCATTAAAATATATCAGTTAATAAATAATTAATGCTTAATAAATCAAGAAAATATAATGAGTTTATGATATATAAATACATAAAAAACTTATATTTAAACTTATTTACCAATTGGTAAAACAGTTTCTGTAAATAGTTTTATAACAAGATAATAATCAATAATGATACTTTTATAATACTACACTACATGTTTATTATCTTTTAGCGAGTATATAAACATAAAGTAACTAGAACCGTTGAAAATTGTATTCATTAATAGACAAATGAGTTATTTATAAATTATAAGGTAAACAATTGCAAAATATATAAAATACAAAAAAATTAACTTAAACACTGTTGAAGTGATTATTATAATATTATAATGGAATAAATCTTGAACACTACAAAAGACTAAAAACAGCTTAGATGACAACAGATTTAAATTAGTTTTGATTGTTGTCCGTAAATAATCAAGTCAGACTCAATTTCAAAAACTGCAGCATCATGATCCATTAAACGATTCGCAAATTGAGTATTACGGAATGCAGAAGCTGGTGTTAGAACACCCCTAATACAACATAATATTTTAATAATATTTTGAAATATATTATTTATAAATAAAATGCTATACCCTTTGGGAATATTGATATGATCTTTTATTATAGTTATTGCTCCCAAGACAACCGCTTTACTAGTGAATCCATAAACTGGGTTTTTAGCTCTGACCTATAAATAAAAAAAATTCAAGTATAGGTATATTAATATTGATATATCCAATAATACAAAAGCAATTAGTAATAATAAAAATTACTTTAATAATAGTTGTTCTTGTGGCAATATTATCTTTAAGTGTAATTTCCTTGAGATTATCATTAGGAGGATGAGCAGATGTTGTTCCGTGACCAATCAAGGTTAACGTCATGTGTGAATTTTCCAATTTTTTTTCATTTGGACCAGTTTTTGATGCAACTCCAAATGTAAACAATTTTGGAAACTATAATTTTTATAAATTACATACATATTAGTCTTATGAAATAATACTATTAATAATCATATCTTTCTTAAGACTGGACCAGAAATTCTAAGCGTAGCCAATTTATATAAAAAATATTATAAACTAAGTTATACGTTTTTTTTTTTTTAATTGTGTAATAATGATAAACATTACACACTATACACCAGTGTTGGGTAAATTACTTTTAAAAAGTAATAAAGTTACTTTACTCGTTACTTAGAGAGAAATGTAATAAAATTACTTTACTCGTTACTCAAATAAAATTGTAATGAAATTACTTTACTTTTCAAATAGAAAAGTAACTACGTTACTTTCTCGTTACATTTTTTTTTTATAATTTTTTTTTTTAATTTCTAAGCTATTATCATTTAAAAAGCAAAGGAACTAGAAATACACTTCCTACAGAAGATATGGTATAATTTGAAAAAGATGTAACTACAGTTAATAACATAAATACATACCTAACAATATTAATTACTTGTAACTTTTAAGTTATAACTATTAAAAATAGTAGTAATAAATTGCACATATGAATATCCGGTCATTACTCATTACTAATAAAGATATTAGATAAGTTTATTATTTTCACCGTTTCTTGTAAAATGCCAAACAGCAATAATAATTATTTATAACACTGCAATGTAAATAATTCGATTTATCATTGGTTATCCATCAATATTTATTTTTAGTGCATGTACAGACGTATAGTTTATGCTTAATAATAGACAATAGTTAATAAGAACATTAGGAACGTATAATAATTAACCACTTGTATAATAAATAATACCCGCATTATACATTATATTTTTAAGTTTTTTTTTTTTTTGAAATTCGCAATATTTACTTAATAATTTAAAACTGTAACGCGTTATACTATGTAAATTACTCATCAAAAGTAATTTTCATTACATTTTCGTTATTTTAAAATAATTGTAATTAAATTACGTAACGTTACTACCCAACACTGCTATACACTAATATCTAAATGTGTTTCATTTTGACTTCAATATGACCATAATATTTAATTGATTTAATGGAAGTTATTTCTTTAATCTACTTAATTTTATTTTCAATTGTTATTTATCATATTACATTATAAGCAATCAACAAAAATAATAATTTATTCGCAATAATAATAATATAATAATATAGGTAGGTACTTAAAGTTTGTGTGAAACAACAATGTTTTATTCTATTGTCTAGGGGAGGTTATTATTCCTCACTGGCAGGTGCCATCTGAAAGTAGTTGTAAAAAAATCTTTTGAAGGGTGTCTTATTTTTTTAGTAATGGGCAATTTACTTATATTTAAACAAAAGCTAACCTACTACACATTTTCTGAAGCAAACCTTCAAAACTTTGAAATTTTTTACCATTTCTTTTTTTATTTTAAAACTATTTTAGTGTGCTATCAAGTACCAACTAACTTACACAATTAAACCAAAATGTACAAATTATTAATTGTTTTAAATAAAAAAGTGAAAATAATTATAAAAATTAACCATTTTTGAAAGTAATCAAATAATACAAAATATAAGAATTATTTTTTGATAACTTAAGGTATACTGTCATAATATGACCGGGATACATTATTTAATAATTATGTGTTAAGAAGAAATAAAAATTTAAACATTTAAACATTTAATGACCACAGAAATATATTTGGGTCTCGGTCACATCACCTTAAGACAGCTCTACTAATAATGATAAGATTAACTTACCCGAACAAAAAACATTCTAACAGGTTCAAATGTGGCCAAGATAGACAGTATTATGTAGAAATATAACCCAATAAGAGCTGATATCAAATAACCAAAAACATAATAGTTTCGAACATCAAAATTATATGGTAAATTATCGATAGTTTTGGCATGATGTATTGATCTAGCAACAACAGCTTGATCTGGATCCGGAAAAGACAAGCACCATTCTTTATCGTCACTATGCATACTGGTTTGCCGTCTATGCAATAACCTAAAAATTAAAAATCTATTAGTTTTTAAACTCTATACTTTTGAATTAATTATTCAATAAGCATTCTCATAATAAGATAATAAAATATTTTACAACTGAGACAAAGAATGTTTCTATGAGTGTCTCCAATGTAGTAGGTAACACAAATTATTTTTATTGCATAAAAATATTTTAAGATAGCTTATTTATATTAACCACCACGATTGGAGCAATTACTCTACATGGTTTTTCATTGTTTTTTTTATCAAATTGTTGAAATTAAATGTTAAAATTATATCTAGGGCCCCTCTTTATTAATATATATTTTTTGATGTATGAGACCAATATTTTGCTTGGATGATTAACCGGAACACAGAAAATACATTTTTGTAAATAAGTTGTAAAATAATACATACTTGGAAACATTTGGTTTTACTCGAGTTATTCCCATTAACTCATCTAACAGATTCCTGTAGTGTAGTCTTAGTTTTTCAGTAGCCAAATGCAATATAGTGCTTATCCAAATACCGTCATGTATATGAGTGCTCTAAAATACAATCGCAATTAATTTATTAGTTAGTTTTTATGGAATTAGATCAACTTAAAAACATAAGGGTAAAAACTAATTATTATTTATCAATTATTATTAAAAAAAAACATGCGAATATTGGCAATTAAAAAAAAATGTATAACTTACTAAGGGAAGTGCATGTACGATTGAACTGGTATAAATTTCCATGTACACGTCAACATTCTTCAATTCACCTGAAAATAAAACATTTATAATTCCGGCAACTATATTATTTTTTCAAAGTGTCAAAAAACTGTAAACATACCACTAAAATGTTTGTATAAAAATTCTACACCAAGGTCAGTCGGTACACTAGTCACACCAAGTGCACTGACAATTATTGAATGGTTTTCTTCAGCTTGTCTATTATATGTATATGCCATTTTCTCCATAAACTATAATTACAAATGTGTTATTTAACTGAATAGAAACAATTAACAAATATCAAAATAATAATGTTTTTTGAGCACAGTTTTATTTTCATATATTTTGTTAATTTTTAACCACACAATAATGTAACAAAAATACAATACATCTATTTGATAAATACTTAACATGCTTTTAAAAATACATTAAAAAAAAAAAAAAAAAAAAATGTTTTAAGATTCTTTAGGATCCCAATATAAAACAACAATTAATCTACATTTGAACAACCTATGTATCACTTACTAATGGTTCACAAGTTACATCTACATAATGAGTAGATGTCAAAACACAAGATTTCACTACAACTTCTCCAAATATATAGTACGGTCCAGTACAATTTATAACCACAGAAGTTGTTTGAGCCATTCTCATTACAGTTTTAATATCTTGTACATCGGCATAAATAATATCAATTTTTTTATCTTCATAACCATCTATATAATATTTGATAAATGCATTACAAATTGCTAAACATAAGTAACAATATTATACCAATGGTTATTTCTAGACTATAATGTTCATCATTAACCTTTCTCTAAACAATAAATTATTTAATATAAACTAAAAAAAAAAATAAATAAATACAATTAAATTGTATCCCTTTAGACATAAAATAATTTTATTACTGAAGACAGTGCTTAACATCATTTATAGAAACGAAAAACACCATTGTTGTTTTAAAATTTAAGGATTTAAACATATACACAATGGTTTTTAACGTTCCTTAAAAAATGAAAGCTGTTACCTGTAGAACTTAAATTAAATACCTATTTATTATATTATAATTGTTATTGTAAAATAAGGTAACTTACCAATAGTTTTGTACAATTTATCTAATACGTTTTGTAATTTATCAGTGTTACGCCCAGCAATAGCCCAAGTTAAATTGTATGTTTGAGAAAAGCGTCCTATTTCCATAACAACATATTGTCCAGTGAATCCCGAAGCTCCAAAAACGATTATATCGTATTTGCGTTTTGATTTTATATTAGCGATTTGTTCCTTGGCTGGACTGTGGTCAGCAGTGGTTTCCTGGTCGAGTATTTTACCTTCCATTTTTGCTTCTTAGTACTGTTCTGGTAACCTGTAACAATATAGATTGACGCTATTATAAATATATTCCAGTAATTATTGTTGAAAATGTAGGTTACACCGTTAACAAAATATGCCAAATAGTAGAAGATATACAACCAATCCACTGATGTCAGGTGGATATTAATGATCAGTGAAATCATATTACCCAAACAATTGGTAATAGGTATATATTATATTTAATTTGGACATTTGGTGAATAACAAAAAAAAAATTCTGAACACCGACCACACGGTCATGGTGGATAGTGCCTAACCTCACTGTCCACTGGACGAACCACATCGAGCCACAACGAAAGCGCAGTCGGGGTGGGGGGGGTCATGAATTTCGTCAGCCACGGTCAGCAAGGCCCCCGAAAAATTATAAGCAATATATTATTTATCTTTAAATAACACACGGGACGCGTTTCGCCGTTTCGGACTTGACGACATCACCCACACGTTACCTATAGTTTGGTCACCCACGGATGTCGAACGCTTTCGACGAATCCTGTGCCGACGTACGGGTCGTGTCGTAAAACCACACATTAAAATGGCCAACGGCCGAACCGTGCGGTACTCACCTCGGACGCTGCTCGAAGCCGGTTTAACTGGGAAAAATGACGACCGTGGAAATTAACGCTGGCGCAGTCCGATCCAACACCACCTCGGTGGAAACTGTTCGGAAACGGAACGTCAGACGGCAGCGGCGCGGGTCGAAAAACAACAGAAGACAATGCCGAAAATCGACAAGTTGTTGAGCACAAGTCACAACTGAGTGGTGCGTACTGCGCGTGTGTTTGACCGGTGCGGTGACGCTCGTTGGCGTCTATGTAGCCGCCTCCCTTCCCGCTCCGCCTACCGTGTCGGCGGCACGGCGTTTGTGCCGGTTACCAGCATATCTGTTATCAACAGCTTGAACCGAGGGTTATTAGCGGCAGTGTTGCAACAAGTTTAACCCGCAGCCGAAGGAAAATGGCGGGCCCACAAAATATATTGCAATGGATCCTGCTATAGTCACGATTGAATACAAGATATCTTTAATATTGTGGTCCGGACGGTGTCCGGTGTCAAAAAATTCGTCTCGGAGCCGATTTTAACCGTGGCTAGAAGAGCGCGTTTTCGTTTTCGTCTTCGTTTTCGTGCGAGTACCAAGTGCAAACGGTTCACTGGAAATCGTTTTGGCGACGATTTCATGTCAAAACTGTTAACAATAATTGTTCGCACTTCGCAGAACAATTAATGTTTGCTCCTATCATGATCGATTAAATTATATAATAATATAATATAGGGATTTAATTGTTTTAATTTGTCGCGGCTCCAATAACCAACCGACTTGTTCGACGGTGTAGTGGTTCTGGTACCCTTGCTCATAATATAGAAGGACTATTTCGCTTTGGCCATGTACAAACTAGATCCTATTATTATTATGTCGTATCAGAAAACCGTTTCATTTCATTAACACCGCGAAAACACGTATAATACGCATGATTTGTATGATGCGCCTCTGATTAAAGTTGAAATTCCGATTATCGCGAAGTATTATTATATAATGATAATTTAAGTAAATAATAAAATACGAATTGAACTATACAATCTGTATACCAGCTCTTAATAATCTTTATAATTTTTCGGGTACCCATTAGACGAAAAAAAAATCACGTTATTCCAACACGGCAACACGTCCTTCAAAAATAATAATGATTAATTTTATTAAAATAGTAACAGTAATAATAATAATAATAATAATAATAACAAATATGGCGGGCCATAGCTGCGGTAACGCTCGGCTGTTGTAAAGCCGTTGTAGCAGTGGTCGTAGATGGCGTCGGGTGGCACGATTTACGTGTTTACGTTTTCCGTTTGTATGGTTATACCTATTTTATACCGTTAATAAATGAGACCGCGGTCAAACCATTATGACGCGAGCTCTGGGAGATTGGATTATCATATACCTCCACTAACGTAGGTACATGGTTTTATGAATGGGTTCTATGAATGAACGTCATCCGCTTTTGTCTTTGTTTCGGCCGGCACGATCGGGCGGGAATACGAAATTATAGTAATCACGAAAAAGGCGGCAATTCCGAACGCATAGTCGCACTGTCATAATAATAATAATAATAATCATAATAATGAGTTATTTTGTCGGTGGTTATTTTTTCACGGGGTTATTTTTTCGGGGTTCTTTTTTTCGGGATTATTTTTTCGCGGTACCATTAATTGTATATTATAACATTTTGTGTATTGTGATCGTTTCCGAGCGATGTCTGCTCCGTCAGCCTGAATTACTTATTTTTTTTTTTTTTAGTTTATTTTTATATTTTATGATACACTATTACACTCATTAATATTGCTAACTGCTATCATGGCGGTTTATTTTCCTATATTTCGTATGGTAGGTTGAATTAATTTTCGTCGAAAGCACTGCATTCGAAAATGGCGCCAATATCGTGTGTGTATAATATAGGTATATAGGTACCTACCTACGTTAAGACTGACTTCCGAGTGCCTATACTAATTGTGTTTAAAAATATTTTTAGTTACATTATGATCTGATTTATGAGGAACTTCATGTAAAATTGTCAAGCCTTAGGTATATAATTTGAACATGTACATTTTCAACAACAAAATAATTTGGAAAGTTTCGTGATTTTGATTTTTGAAAAAAAAAAACATTTGACCGAGTCGATATTTTCAGTTGGTATATGCAAATTGAAAACCTTACGATGAACCTAGCTTAAGATTTACAATGATTTTGACCTATATAATAACGTATACATAAGGCGATTATTAATAATAATCGTCGTATATGTTCGTCTATATTATGGTGTTTACGGTAAAATAACGGTCGATTACAATAATTTAATTATTTAATATTAATCACATAGATGGGTCGTAGGTACATAATAAGTTAACAAACTCAAAATTCGTACCGACCAAAACTATTTAGAATTCCTGACAGTTTGTATTTAATTTGTATTATGGTGTATTTTTTTTAGGTAATGGGCACTTGGCACGATACAATATTATGTTGTGGAGGTAAAACGTGCGCCGTCCGGATTGCTTGCGGTCTGCGGCCTGCCGAATTCTTATCTTTGGGGAACATCTGATACCGTCCGCAGGACCGACGCTCACGAATCGTGATAACGCGATGCAGTTTAAGACCATGTTGTAGTTACTGTGTTCCACGATAGTCGGCGATAGTAATGAACGACGGTGCTTGACGACTTGAGATGACTATATAGTACGCATACACATACACGCACATTGTAACCATTAACCAATAGTACAATATTAGTATTAACCATACGTCATACTATACCACTATATACAGTAGGTACTTTTAACGATCGTTTTTGATGTCATGGCGTACCAGCTAACGCAGTGATACACATTGCGAAGTCTGATTGATCCGACACATTTCGATTTTCAGTCGGTCTCGTTCGTTTGTGCTTTGCCGCGTATTGTGCGTCGACATTTTTTTTAACTCCGTGATCAATCGCTTTGCGTTGATTGTTATTTGACGACAACGTTTGCGTTGGTTAGCATTCGTCTTCAGCCATTTTGTAATAGTTAACAGTCCGACTTCACTGTACCATATTTTAACTTCAGTACATTTTAGTCGCGTCAACTGAAAAATGTCGGACATCAGCAACGTACGCTTGAAGGAGTGTAAGGTAAAACTCACCAGGCTGACAAAAGAAGAAATCGAGAAACACACTGGGAAGTGAGTATAACATTCCAAAACATATCACATATTACTTTTACTAGGCACCTGTCATGGAGTAGCTAAAACTGTTTTAAGTCTGCCGATGTTCGCTTTCTTATTGACAGTTCTAGATGTATGATTATTATTATGTTGATCTTAAACTTGTGGATGCGGCATTGTATTATAATCTATTAGCCAACACAACTGATACCATTATTAACCGCAACACCACTGCATATTTTCATCTCTTTTCACTCTTGTTCAAATATTTTCTTTATCGCTCAGAAACTTTTGCGAGTGAGAACCATCGTTTCTCCTCTATTATGTTGTACAAAAAGTATATTACCTAAATGTTTAGTAAAGACGGGAACTTTGTATCCATATGTTTAATATTGATGTACAAATTCAAGTAGACAGGGCTGCCACTAAGTTACTTTTTCAACTAAAAGTCACTTTTTTTTTTTAGGTCTCTAAAAGTCCCCTTTTTTCATTAAAAGTCACTTTTTTAAAATATAAATGATAGTTTTCTTAAAATTAGCGTTTTTTTGTATAAATCTATGTATAAAATATTGATAAAATGAGTTATAAATGAATATTTTATGTTGTATAATAAATTGATAATTTTAATATTTTATATGGCTTATTTTAAACCATGGGTGTAGGTTTGCAACCGTATTTTATTAATATAATCAACAATATATTCAATAAGCAATTATTAAAACAATATTTTTGTATTAATTTTGTTAAACTTAGATTTAAACATAACCAAATTTAAATTACTATTTGTTCCTATCTGTATATGAAGCAATAATTAAAAAAAGACTGTTACTAAGAAAAATCTTAATTTATTAACATGAAATATGTTATTTGTTTGTTTTGTATATTATGTACTATTACTATAGTATATAAGAATACATTTTTAAAAAAAATGGGGGTGGAGTGGCCAAGTGTCAGAAAAACAAGTGCCGCCATTCGCATCTGCCATCCCACCCGGGCATACCAGATACCTACAGGTGCCCAATAAAAATTCTGCGAAACAAAACACACAGGTGCTCCTCCCCCTACCGGCATAAAAACTTACAAAAAACCAAAAACAGCCAATGGCCAAATTAATTAATTAAAAATATTTTGGTTAAATAATAATATGGTTTTATGTCTTTTATTATTTCCATCCTCTAATGAATTTTACACTAAATTAAATTAATATACTAATTTAATAATCTAAAATAATAATAAATAATTGTAATTAAAAAATATGTCACTTTTTAAAAATTTTTAGTCACTTTTCCAACTATTTCCAATTTTAAACTCTAGTGGCAACCCTGAACTTCCATGGATATAAAATTGTTTAACACTATAATAATATGATAAACTAGAGGTATTCAAACTGTGTGTCGCAGCTTTCACGGGTGGTCTCGGTAGTTGGCTAAGAGAGCCGCATGGAAGAACTAGAAACGAATATTACTGTAATATAGAAATAGAAATATTATTTTTAATTATTAGGTAACATAATTATTGTGGAAATTTGAAGTTTTTTTCTAATAAATACATTTTTGTCTTATTATTATTGTCCATCACCGTTGATTAGAAAGCCGCCAATAATTTGGGAGCCATCAATATATTGTGGTTGATATTTGTGGGATGAAAAAGTTTGAATACCTCTGATATAAACGTACTAACAAATAAGTGTGTAGTTATGGATTATTTGTTCAACATTTTTTTTTTAATTTTATTAATTAGGACTTTTGAAGAAGCAGAGAAAATCGCTGATTTGATAGATGACAACAAACCAAAATTATTTGTTAGAAAAGATGTTATCATGGATATCAAAACGTATGTTAATATTAAAATATAATTTTTATACGTGCATTACCTATCTATACTTCAAAATTTTTATTTTTATTGTTTTAGAACACAAGACACCGAGGAGGGTACATCAAACACTGGCCATGAAATTATTCCAGACATTATCACACCTCAAAATATTCAATGTGATGACATTAATAACGAGGAGATAAATGGGTATGTCAATGTTCAAGTATAATTTTTATACTTGCACTTTCTTAACATTAAAATTTTAATTTTTTAATTTTATTGATTTAGCACACAAGCAGAAAATAATGTGTATGTTGGACCCAATGACTTTATGCCAATGATCTACCAACAATATGACATGGATACGGTGTATGTTGACGTTGAAATATAGTTGTTATGCTTACATTATTTTTACATTAAAATTTTATTATTTCTTATTTATTTAGAACTGAAGAAATTGATTATAACTATAGACCAGAAATGAACTACATTCCTGACATGATAATAAAACAAGAAATACAAGATGATAGTTATGGAACTTATACGTATGTTAATTTTTCAGGGTTACCTACTATATCACTATTCTAACCTTTTTTTTTAATGTGCTCCTTTTTTCTTATTTATTTATTTGATTCACTTAAAACCCATTTTTTCACTTTTTTATGAAATAATAGTAATTATTATAATTTTTTTTTAGGAAATTTATATGGATATTAGTGATAGGCATAATAATATTATTACTAGGACTTTGAATTTATTGAAAAATATATAATTTTTAGGTTACTGAAGTACATATTATTTTCTTTAAAACATAGTTTAAATTAGGTAGTATTAATATAATTTTGAAACTTCTATATTTTATTTTTATTTTTTATGTCAACTTTTATCAACATTTTTAAAAATTTCTGTCAATTAATATTGTTGACAAATTTTATAAATTATTTTTATTAATTAAATTTACATCTTATAAATGATGTTCTGTACTCACCTTAATATAATTTTTAACTTTTTATTAACTTCATTAATATCTTTAATTTGAAATACTTTACACTTGATCAATTTTTATATTTTTTTAAATTATGATTAGAGCTCGGATTTTTATACACTAGAAGGGTCAAAGTATGGCATACGATATGCAGTTAAAATCGTAAAAAATATGCAAAAAAAACTTTAATTTTGTAATGATTTGGTAAAAAATTCACAATTTAATAGTTTTTAAGTTTTTGACTAAAAAATGATTTAAAACAAATTAAATAACTTAAAATTATAATAATAGGTATTTACTTAATAAACAAAAAAATTAATTTATAATTTAATATTATTAAAATGAATAATCACTTTGCGCCTATAAATTTTATTATTAAATTTTATGCTTTGAAAAATATTATTTTATTCATTTTTTTTTAATTTTTGCTTCAATATGCAATAATTTTATGCGAAAATTTTGTCAAAATATTCAGAAATATACATTTATCATTAATAAGTAGTAAAATGCAAAAAAAAAAAATTTTCATTAGTTTCAAATTATTAGAATTCGTAAAGATTACCAACAAAAAAAACTGAAAAATGTGAAAAGGATAAAATGTATAGGTTAAATATGCAATTGCATAAGATTCTGCTCTCTAATTATGATTTTTAATTACATATTTTATACTAAATTTTATACTGAATTGTGCTTGAGATTTTAATACATTTATAAGTTTTTTTAGTGCATTTTCCAGGGTTATAGTATGTTTTCTACTTTTTATTTTTTGAAACTTCAATGTTTTTTATTGCATAAATTTGTAGCTATAATTATTACTAACCATTTGTATAAAATATGTATGCTTATATTACAATGTTGGTTATTTAAAAAATATAAATTTTAGTTGAGATTCTAAAAATTTAAATAATAGTAAGGTGTTTCATATTAGTATAATGTCTAAACTGGATGGAGATGATATGTAAAAAATATTTACAGCTTTCCCAAAATTTAATACTCAATTTGTAAATAGAATATATTATAGGTGTTGCTGTTATTGTAAATTTTAAAAACATTTTTTACTGTTAATTTTATGTTGTAAATAATAATCAGTTTAAAAAAAATATGAAAATTTAAAAATCTGTTGAATTTATTGTTTTTTTTCACTTTTTCACTTTTTTAAAAAAAAAATAGTGACAACCTTGATAATGAAATATTATTTTATACTTGCACTATCTTTACCTTAACATTTTATTTTTTTAGACCGCAAGTAGCCGGGACTTCTCAGCTAATGATAAAACAAGAAGTTGTTGACGAAAGTTACAACTATAATAATATGTATGTTAATGTTGAAATATAATTTTTGTACTTTCACTATTAATCTTTTTGTTATAAAAGTATTTATTTTTTTAATTTGAAGGTTTAGTGCACAAGGTAGTCACAATATGTACAGTGAATATTATGTACCCAACATATTGTCAAACCAACCAACTGAAAACTTTGGTATGCAGAACATGTAAGTTAATGTTGAAATTTAATTTTATACTTGTACTAGCTTCACTATAATTTTTTTCTTTTAATTTTATCGATTTAGAAATCCAGAAACATCCAACCCATATGTCACCATCAAGCAAGAGGTTTTCGATGAGGGTAACATTGAAGTTTACACGTATGTTAATGTTGAAATATTATTTTTTTACTTGCATTATCTTTATTATTCAAACAAAACAATTTAGTTTTTTCTTCTCTTACTATTTTACACATGAAAATAAATATACCATATTCTTATTCAATAATATAGACCCGATAATAATATAAATTAATTTCAACAAATTGTATGAATATTATGTGACCAAATATGCGGATTAAAATAATCAAATTATATGACAAAATATCCTTATTAAAAAAAAATTGAAAATAGCCTGTTAAAAATATTTTTTTCATAATAGATCTATATCCAAGTAATAATATGTTAAAGAAATATAATAATAATAAACTAACATATTATTACCTATATTTGATATACAATGGTATATTTAATTCTTTATATTTTTTTACTCAAGATGAAGATTTACTTTTGTTTTGCATTCTTAAATATTTTATTTTATTAGTTTATAAAACATTTTATAGAGCATATTATTTACTAATTATTTTATTACAGAAAACTTATTATTTCAAAAATTATTAACATCATTAACGTTTTGGAACATGTATAATTTACATAATATTTGTTGTTAGAATTAATTCCTATAGGTGTTTAATGTTTTGATGAGAAGAGTAGTGTAACAAAAGATTCACCTGATATAGTATTTATTATAATTTATAATTTGTACTTGGCATTCATTAACAGATTAAATGTGATTTAAATATGAATAGTATAATTATTAATAATATTCTCTATTTATAATTAAAATTATTTTTAATTTGGATACTCAGATTATATTATCCCAATACTGAATTTTACTTGGAATAGTTAAGGGTATTTTTTGGTCTGATTATTAGGGATTAAACAATTTGAGTTATTTTTGATTGTACTATTATTTCAATTTTTAAAATTATTTCCTAAAAGATCTTAAAAAATTGCATATAAATTGAACGTATCATAAACAAACATATTAAACTGGGATAGAACAATTTCAGATATTTTGCTGTTATTGTAAAATTTCCAGTAATGTATATGATTTTACCTTAATCTATAGATTATTAAGAAATATTATTATAAGAAATAAAAATGAATACATTTAAAATCTTAAATTCATTATAATATGACTTTTATAATTTTAACTCTTACAATTAAAATGTTCGAATATTTTTACTTGTATAATATTATAAAAACCAACTCGTTATATAAATACTTTGAACTGTTTTTAATTATAATAAAATAAATTTTAAATTAAATTAAATTTGTCGTATTTTTTTTTTTATTACTTAAGTAAATAATAGTTTTTTTTATTATTTTTTAATTAAATTTTAAATATTGACGGCTTGTAACAACAAAAGTTCAAGTGTTTTATTGAAATAATTTAATATTTTTACATCACTTGCCAATGAGGACCCCTCTTTTGATGATAATTTGTTCTAATGTTTCTTAAACACTGTTCATATAACTCTTAAATTTAATATAAGCGTTTTTATTGTTTACTTAATTACTGTTTAAATTGTATTCTCTGTTATTTACATATAATTTTTTATATTTCTCAATTTTCTACTATTATTCTATAAAATTTTACTGTTTTCTTTAATGTTATAGGGGAAACCCGTATATCTTGTAATAAATAAATAAATCACGAATTTGGGTTAAAAATAAATTGTTCTGATATTTTCATATACATTTTTTTAACTTAATCATTACTATAAATTAATATTCTGTGTATAATCATAATCTATGGTTGGTATCACTGATTGGACAAATTTCAAAAATATAATTAAGTACACATGTACTTTTAAATGTTTGCTTCGTTTTTTCATAATTTTGATCAGTTTTTTCATAACTTCTGCGTGCCTGTAAACAATATATTATAATCGCTGATTAAGATATTTCTCATGACAAATTAGATAGGTATCATCACAGTTGTAATAGTCTTGCACTGTATGCACATCTCCTTCGGCACTGGACCATGTCGTAGTTCTACACTTTTAATTGGTTGATTTTGTTCCATGTTATATATGTATGTAAATTGTACATGATTGACAGCCAATAAGAAGTGGAGAACAACAATATAGGCGAAGTAAAGAGCAGAGGATGCATCTGTGATGGCACCTATCTAATTTGTAATGATATTTCTTACTATAAAATTAACATTAAAGAATTTTTGAAATGTTATGTGATGTACAAAAGTTTATAAAAATAATAAAACATTATATAAATTCTCAATATTCAATACTCCCAAGTAAATTAAAAACCCTTTGTCTATTAACCTAACCATGTCTCACCAACCTAAAAAAAAACTTATCTTTTATACATGCATCACCTTCATGCTTGTAGTGTAACAAGCTTGCGGTATAACAAACTAGCAATACTGCAGTCTAATAAATTTCTATTAATTAATTATAATATACATACTTGCAGGGATGTACTGATGCCATCAGCGGACCCGGTATATGAGGATGGGACTCCATGGTAACAGTTTTCTTTGCATAATCATGACTCACGTCTTCGTACATTTCTTCCACACTCAATGGAATTTTATTCTAACATGTACAAAAATATTTTTTTTCAAAATTAATTAAAGAGTTTATAGTGACTAAGATATAACAGTTTGTACTCTCATAATTTTAATACATTTTCTATATGAATATTGTTGAATATTTACTTCATCATAACCATAAATCCACAATCTTGGAGTTTGATAAAATTTATCATATGTTATATGTAAATCATAAGTTCTGGTTTTTAATATTTCATCAATATATGTGCTTTTTAATTGTTTTCTTTCATTTTGTGTGGAATAAACAGTTGCCTTAAAAAAAAAATAATAATAAATATTATGATATGATACCAAGTAAATTAATTAAAATAAAAAAAAAAACCAGCCAAGTGCGAGTCAGACTTGCACACAAAGGGTTCCGTACCATCATCTATAAGCATGATGGCAACACTGCTTATATTATATATTCTAGGATTTTTAGTATTTATTGTTATAGCGGCAACAGAAATACATAATCTATGAACATTTCAACTTTCTAACTTTCATGGTTCATGAGATACAGCCTGGTGACAGACGGATGGACGGACAGCGGAGCCTTATTAATAGGGTCCCGTAAGAGTATGATTATTGAGAAATAAAGTTTGCTAATTTGATAGATGATAATTATAAATTACTTTTTAAAAATTATACATAAGATTCATGTGAATAATCATAATATTAACTATTATAATTAGGTACTGGTAATTCATTTTTGAGCATATTTTATATGATTTTTTAATTCATGAAAGTCCATCCTCTCACATATATTATATTTACATCTAAATCATTTTTAATCATTAATTCATTAATTATTTCAGTCAGTTAGATAACTATTTAGTTAACATAAATTTATTCAATATCCAGATTAAACAGAATATAAATAATTATAAAAACCTTTTAATTTGTATTTTATGCACATATATTTTGATTTTTCATCTTCTCAACTCATTCCATTCAAGAAAAAATAATCAATAATATAACCATAACTAAAAAATTTGAACATTTAGAATAATCAAAAAAAAATGTTAAAAATTGAAAGAGAAATAGTTACCGAATCATCTTCCAGCATACCACTTTCTATAAACGCATCCATATCTATTGCTTCACCTTCATCATCGTCATCATCATCATCATCATCATCACCTATAGTACTATTTTTAGTATAGAAATTACAAGTATTCATAATTTGATTTTCATGGGTCACAATGTTGGAAACTTGACTACCAATCTTTTGACCTTTAAAATTTTCCTACAAACAAAACATTACATTTTTTTATATAAAGATATTAAATTAAGCTATACATTATACCAGGGGTCGGCAATTAAATAATGTGGCGGTCCAGATAATTGAACAAAAAATGTTCAAGGGCCAGAAAAAACTTAAATATCAGTTAATATACCTAATGTGCTTATTTTTTTTGTTAAAAATACAGTTCAAGCTGTTTAAAGTAAATTATTCAATATAATAATATAATACAAGTCAGTTTTTTCTTAAATTTGATACTCTTGGAGAAATGGAGAACAACAACTATGCGCAGTGTTTTCAAAGTGGAGATCGGTTAATCTTTAAAGATATATATTTTATTCTTTGAAAACCTCATTTTGGAGAACAAAGTATGCATATGTGGAGCCAAAATACAACATAAAAATTGATCAAATATCTATTATGTGCAGAAAACAGCATTAAAAAAAATATTCTTGGCGGTCCAGACATTTCCCTCCACGGGACGCCTATTGCCGACCCCTGCATTATACATTTTAAACCTTTCTGTCTTCCAATAAACCACTAGTTACAAATATAATTCCACAATACAAGTAACTTAATACTAGAGAAAAATTAAATTAAAAAATAATGTAATAAAATAAGACAATTTTAATTAAGATTTATGAGCTAACCATTTTCTTATTTGAACTATAAGTGAATATTACTTACTTCATGTGGTATCTCTGATATTTTTTCATTCATAGGCAAATGGGAAGAATCAAAGTGATGGGTCTCAACCCATCCTTCGTTTCCTTCTTCCAATTCAACAATATTCTCAATAATTTCATTGTTCTCAATCTAAAAATTAATATGTTAATATAATCTATAAATGAATTCAACAAAATTATTTAGTTACTTGCTGATATCGGCGTAAACAAGGAACATTTCTTGTAATTAGATATTGTTTGTCTTTTGGCAAATAAGATTTAATCTTGCATTCATCACCACAAGCCCACTCCCAAGTTGGGCATGTATGTACTAAATGATCACCAGCAATTACAAATTCATTTGGTGTAACTACTCCTGTATCTTTAAATTTTGATTCCTATAAAACAAATTTTGTTGTCTTTTAAATTTTTTATAGTACATATATTGCAAAAAATAATATTAATTTTTTACTACAATAAAATATTAAATAAGCTAAATTTTTGTTGTGAAAAGAAATTGACACATTATTCAATTATGTCTGTTAGTGGCGTAATCTGGTCATGTTTGCGGAAGGGATTGAAACATTTAACAACCTCCCCCCCCTCACCAATCAAACAAAATTGATTTATATTATAAAAACCTCTTAGTCCAACCATTGTGATCTGTTATCTGTATAATGTAAGTAGAGTACATGTATTAATGCATGTATACATGAAAATAAATAATTACATATCTACTGTTAAATAAAGTTTTAAATGTACTTTTTCCAGTAGATTCATGGAATAATCTACGTAGACGTAAAATACATAAAATTGCAATCTTCAAAAGGTTATAACCTTGGAACTAAGCCTGACCAACAAATTTTGATTGCTCATTGTACTTAACTTGTTGAAATACACTTAATACCCAAAGGTTTCCAAAAAAATCTGAAAACTGCCTTATTTCAATATATTTCTGCAATATTCAATTTACAATAGAGATTAGTGTTTATATGAAGTCATATTATCTTAGTTACAGCTACCATAGGGGGATTTGGATTTTTATTTGTTGTTCCTATATAAAATATACTATATTCGTATCAATAAATAACAAGTACATAAATATGGTTCTCCAGTTAAAAAAAAAGTCATGGAGAGAGGTACGAAACCCAAATCCCCCTTCCGTAATTACGCCACTGATGACTGTAACTACTCTATTAATTAGCAATTGACAGGTACCACAGTACCTGCTCTGTGTCAAGTTATATTCAATATGCATGCATTGTACATACCCACTTATTTCAAAAAAGATTAAAATATTGCAACAAAATTAAGTATAGCAGTATAGGTACCTATTATTTTGTATTGTTAATGAGACAATTTTTATTTGAAATTAATAATATAGTTTCTCATGTTGATTACCTTTAGGACTGGAGTCAATAATCCTGCGAATCCCAGTGCAGTTCCTTTAACGGAGTTGATAATGTTTTGCATGATTTCAATATGACTCTTTTAATTTCAATTTGTCTCTGAATCCAAGAACGATTCTCTGTTACGAACGATGGAATGAACCTAATTGCTTTCACCAGTTTCACCTTAACAAAAACATATTATATAAAAAAAAACTTTTAATTTATTCTATTGGGAAAAAACTACTTTTGTAGGACGATAAAAAACGAATGAGAATTCAACATTGCTGTAGCTGTAGGGCGTGTAGTACCTATGTAATATTATTACGAAATTTTTCGGCATAGTGCTGACAACAACTAACAAGTCAACAAGTGATATTTTCAAAACACGTTTATGCGGACCGGCAGATGAGAGTAACAACTAACTAACACGAAACGAGTTTAAGACCCTGACCAGAATGTAGCAAGGTGAAATGGTATGGTGTTCTTTTTTTATCAGTGTCGAATACGACAAAATGTCCAGTTCGTACTCTTCTAGTAGGTACCTATCTATATTACTATTATAATTATTAGTGTTTAGTGTTTAGTTATATATTTTTATATTTTATTAATATTTATTACTAAAATAAATTATATTATTACATTTAAACTTAAGCTAACCTAACCTGCCTTGTAAGTATAATGGAATAACTACAACTTATAGATAGTGGAATATTATGAAAAACAATTTACTATAAATAAATTATAATATTCGACGAGTAGGTATTCGACTGGGTACGAAGGCGGGTACACATAGACCAGCGGTTCCCAAACTGTGCGCCGCGTCGCCGTAGAAATTGACCTGGTCTAAAAATAAATTCATGCTATGTCTTGGAAAGGGCGCCTTGAGAAAAGTTTAGTTCAAAAAGGGCGCCGTGAGCTAAAAAAGTTTGGGAACCGCTGACATAGACATCGATATAATGATTTTATCTATCATTTGACTGTCAATGGAAAAATATTATATAGTTAGAAATTAGAATAGTGCTCAGGAATTTTGGATTATGGGGGGGGGCTACCCACCTAGTTTGAAATATTTTTTCAAACAAAATATTTGTAATATTTAGCGGAATAAATCAAGTTTAGCGACCACACGAATTATTCAATTTTTTTTTTTGGTGACCTATGTATTACAACTACTGAATCACTTGAGAACGATAGTGCAAAAATTAATTTCCTGTAATCATTAGTTTTTATGGTATATATAACTATTTTTTTTAATTTGTTGTACCTGTCATCACCAGTACACCCTTTAGAACAGTAAAAATGCTTGGACTGTCTTCAACAACATACATTTTTTGCCATTAATATATTGTTACAATGATGTTTGAAAAATATTCAAAATCCATATTCACAATTTTTTTTTATAAGCATTTAAATTTCAAATCTTGACAAAATACGTAAAAACGACGAAAATGTGCAAATTATTTTGAGTTAGAAATTCATAAAAATGTTTCTTTTTAAATCTAAGATTTGAAAATAAAATACAAAATTCCTCATAAGTTTGTATACATTTATCAAAAAAAAATGTCTACAAGAAAGTCAAATTAAATTTTTATGAGCGATTGAAGTTCATATTTTAACAACATTTGATATTCCCTCGATTTATCATGTAGCGATTTTCTTATTTATTTTGTCGTAATTTAGAAACGAATAACTGTAGATACATGAAAATTTGACTGAATATTTTAATTCTCATTTTCAATAACCCATACAATTTTGAAAATATTTTGATTTGATTTGAACTGTTTACGGAAAATTTCAAATTTCAATTTTTAATTTTTTTTTCTATAAATATCAATAAAATTGTATTTTTTGGGCCAAAAAGCTTGAAAATTTAATACAAGTCTCCTATATATTGTTACAATATAAGGTTAAAAATATTAAAAATACAATGGCACAATTTTTTTTTATAAACATATAAAGTTCGATTTTTGACAACATTTATCAAATTTAAAATTAAATAATAATTTTGTTGTTTAAATTGCATAAAATGTTAAACTGTTATAGCTAATAATTGAAAATTTAAAATAAGATTCTACTTAAATAGGTTATATATAAATTACTTTATTTATCTATACAATAATATTATCAAAATATGTACTTAGTAATATCATAGGCTGTTTGACCGTATTTTTTAAGAGTCCAGCTCGTGTGTCCTTAATAAGTGGAAACAGAGCCGTAGCAATGTTCATTAGCACTCCTGGCCATTTATCATATTTCCGCCCTTGTAAAAGGTTTTAATCCCCCCCCTCCACACACAAACACACACATATATAAAAGACGCCTTATGCATTCGTTATTTTATTTTTAATAGTAGGTAATAATTATGATATTAATAAAAAAAAATAGTAAACACTGCCTAACTTATAACCTATTATAAAATAATTTTAAAAAAGTTTATTATATTTTTTACATTTCAAAATTTCACTTTTTGTGCTTTTTTTGGTAATATATAAATTAAACTCTACTTTAGACGGTTTATATTTTTTTTTATTAAGAGTATATTAGTATTTATACTACACATGCGTTTGTTGTCTCCGTATTACAAACCTACGACATAGCAAATTTTCGTTCACTAGTTTCAATAATGTGCTGTTAGTTTTTATATTAGAGTGAATGGTGATGGTCAATTATTAATATTTACCTACTATGGATTCGCCCAAGATGGTTTTACATAAAATGTCGAGGTACCTATAGGTATTTTCGGTTTTAATTGTCTGAGCGAGCGCAGGAAGTAGGATGTCGATGTGTATAGCCACCCAGTATAGGTACTTGGTATATGAAAATATCAAAAATTTCAATTAGCTATAACTTTACAAAAAAGGTTGTTAAATAAAACAGAAAAGTTCTTAACGCTCTGTAAAATATTGCGTTGCACACAAATGCGTAAAACACTGAAAATCGTAAACTCTGTTAATTGTTAGGCTATAACTTAAAAACTAATGATTTCGCGTGGGCCCTAAACTAGAATTCTCCCCCTCGGTATCATGAGATACATTTTTTTTTTTTATATATACCTATAGTAATATTATAATTTTAAGATATATAAGACAATTTTTAACAAAATATACAATTAATTTTATTTAAAATATTTGTTTTTTAACTCAGTTTAAGCTATTATTATTAAGTAATACAATTTATAAAATGATTTATATTTAATTAAATAAAATGCTAACGCCCGCGAGCCATAGGGAAAGTTCAGTGGGCTGTGTCGATGTGACATAGTCCACATGACGTCATGACACCATAGACATACTAATTTATCTTTATAATATTATGTCTTTGTATCATGGTCCATGATGGATGCACATAGTAGGTACCTACATACAAGTCATGAACTAAGTTACTTAGTTCATGATACAAGTATACAACCAAATTATAATAAGCGAATCTCTGTTGAAATAGCTCTAAATTCACTGAATAGTGAATTTGCCTAGAGAGCCTAGATAATAATATATAAAGCCATAAAGGTGTATAATATATATATATTATAATATTATATAATATTATTAAATTATAAAAGCTCTCTAAATTTGCCTATCCAGCCCCTTACTAGTAACGTGCAAAAAACAATACAAATTGTTTGGCACCAAAATATGAATTAAATTTCCACCACAGATATACATAAGAAAAAAGAATAATATTATGCATAGAAGTGTGGAATTGTAATTTTTATAACATTAATTCAATTTACCGGCTATCGTATTAGTAATAAGTAATAACAATATAAAATAAATATAATCGATTATGTTCAGTAACCAATGTATCAAGTAGATGAGAACATTTGGGTTGAATTACTCTAGCGCCCTGCTAGCACAACAAATTCTATCAATAATTTTTACATTTTATTTTCAAAATTTTAAAACTGTTTTCGAGCTGTTAACGGATATTTTACATTTTCAATTATTTTACTTTTTAGATTCTGAGTGAAACGATGAATGTATTGATTTTACAATGATGTGTATTATTTTTTTTACTTTTTTATGTATTTTTTTGTGTCTGTGTACACGATAAGTAGGCGAAATATGCCTTCGATTTGCGACTCAGTTATCTTGTTCGACTTGGAAAGTGAATATCGTTGTGCATTGGGGAGGTCAAAATTTAAATTCTTCCCAGTAGTTTTTCAAGAGCGCCGGGAAAAACAACATAAAAATTAAGGAAAAACGGGAATTTTTACGCAAAATCGTTTTCCAGGAAAATCGATTTTGGTTTTGGTGTAACTTTAAAACAAATAACCGTAGATACATGAAATTTTCAGTGGTTGTTTATATTTGCATTTTCTATAAACGATAACATTTTCAAATTATTTTGATTTATTTTGAACTGTTTAGGGACAGTTTCAGTTCCAATTTTATTAGTTTTTTTTTTTATGAATATCATAAAAAATTTATTTGTTGAGTAAAAATACTTGAAAATTTAATACAAGGCCTCCTACTATATTGTTTCAAAGACAGATGAAAAATATTAAAAATCGTTAGTCACAGTTTTTTTTTTAAGCATTTAAAGTTCAAAAAATGACAAATATGGAAAATCACGAAAATTTGCAAATTATTTTGAGTTAGAAATTCATAAAAATTTTTCTTTTTAAATCTAAGATATGAAAATTTAATACAAGATTCCTTATAAGATTTCCTACATTTATCAAAAAAAAATTCTATAAGAAAGTCAAATTAAATTTTATGAGCGTTTGAAATTCAAATTTTTACAACATTGGATGTTCACTCGATTTCTCATGTAGCGATTTCCTTATTTTGTTGTTATTCATAAACGAACAACTATAGATACATGAAAATTTCACTGAATGTTTAAATTAGCATTTCCTATACACCATACAATTTTGACAATATTTTGACTCTTTTTGAGCTGTTTATGGACATTTACAGCTTTCAATTTTTTTTAGTTTGTTTTTCTATAAATATCAATAAAGTTTTATCTGTTGGGCCAAAAGTGTAAAAATTTAATACAAGGTTCCTGATATATTGTTACAATAACAGTTGAAAAATATTAAAAATACATAGTCACAATTTTTTTTTAAAAGCATTTAAC